GAATAGGCCCCTATATATAGAATAGTGTGAGAATTTGAGTTAAGCTGAAAGCATAAGAAAAGATCTAGAACCTTGATCACCTTTAATTTTAAACTCACCTATGAATTGTGCTTGATAAAAGGATTAATCTGGTACATCTTGGTGCAACGTATCTTAATGTGCATTCAAGGGTGTGAGATCCCTTATTGTTCCGATGAGAAGGGTAAAAAGAGATCTCTACTCTTGGATCAATCCTAAATTAAATATCAACACTAGTAAGATACATTATATTAATTCCTATCAAAAGCCCAATTCATGGGTGAATATGAGATTAAAAGTGATCAAGGATGAGGATTCCTTCTTACGTTTCTCACCTTAGCTTTTTTCCCCACACGATCACCTCTCTCTCTCTCTAATAAAAAATTTAAGCTTTGCATGTGAACTCCATAAAACCAAGTGATAAATATATTTAAATATAAGATAATCGTTAAATTGTGTTAATACCATAAAATACTTGATAAACTTACAAATTCTCTTTTTTATAACAAGTTACAACAATTTTCATTTTTAAATTCACAATAAAATTTTAGATGCCACTATATTACAAAAAACACAAAACTAATTTAATTGATGCATATATTAATTTTGGTTGCAGATATTTGTTGAAAATGCAAGATTCCTCTTGATATGCAATTTGGACTAGAAAAGTCATCAAATAGTAACAGATTTGTAGGAGATCTTATCCTATTCACTTTAAATAATTTTCACAATATAAAATTAATTTGTAACTTCTTGAGATTTTTTTTTGTTATATTCTTTTAAACTGATCAAAAAATCATAATATACCAAGGTTATATATATTCAATTGGACCATAAGTTAATTATTTAACTGTTGATTGATAAATTAGTTGTTAAACTAAAAATTAATTATTTATAATCATCAAACATGACTCAAATAATAAAAAGGTTACGCTAAATACACTTGTATCTTCTAACATATCAATCAATATCAAAATTTATTTTTTATATTTTCGGCGGTTGATTTTTGCGAGCTGAATCTTTTTTTTTTAACTAAAAAGTTAATGATAGTTGTACAAATGAACAAAAACAGTGGATCAGAGGGAATCCATTCAATGCTTCACTTCAATAGCTGAATGCATGAATCGCTCACTTTGTTGCAGAGTTTGGTTGTACATTTTCCCCATTTTATGTATTTATTTATGTCAAAAACTTTACCATATATACATATCATATTTAATATAAATAAAATTAATTAAGATAAGAAAAAAAAACAATTATCATCATATTATGAGTTAAACAAATATAAGATATTTTTAATTTAAGATAGTGGGTCCAGGTTTTCATCCTTATCCTCATGTGTCCATATATTGACATTCTCTGGCTATAAATATTTCTCCTCCCATCATCTTCTTGGTCAAAATTAAAAACCCTAAACCAGATCTCTGTGTAAGCTACGAATGCCAAAGAGAAACAGCAATAAGTGTGAATCTGCAGGTGGTGGTTCCTTGATGAATGCTTCTTGTAGTTTGTTGCAGATAAAGAAGAGAATCGTGACACATGATGATGAAGGGAAGTTGCAGGGTGGCTCTGATGATGGTTCAAGAAAAGTAGTAGCTGTGGGTTGGTCTGAGGAATCTTTCCGTACGGTCATGTATCTCAGCTGTTGGGGTCTTAACTGAACCTCTTCATTTTACTAACTATTACTAACAAGATTTGTGTATAAAAGTTGCTTGTTTCTTTTCTTAAACTTGATTTATAATGTACATATGTATCTTCCTATCATCTAACTTCTTCTTTTTCTCGTTTCCATATAAACCCTTCATTTCAGTATTTCACATCAATATATGAAATTTTCATGCAAATTAGTTATTAAGCTTCACCCTATGTGTATATTGTGCAATTCTCTATGCATGAATGTATGTATCATGTATGTATGTATGTATGTATGTATGTATGTATGTGTGTGGACCAAAATACTTGGTGTTTATAGGACCTAGTCTAGTTATGGGTTTCTGTACCGAGAAAAAGAAGATAAAAGACGTACCAAGAAAACCAAAACAAGAAGGCTAATTAATACCTCAAATCACTTGCATTGGTTTTATGTTACTATAAAATGAAATTAAGTTGAAATGTTACCACCCATCCCCCTCCCCCTGCTGCACCAAACAGAGGAGCAGGCATCTTTCTTTGTAGCTAAAGTCGCTAGAGGGCCCGCTTACCTTACTGTTTTGGTGCAATTCAGATCCTAGCATGGTTGCATATGCGTCTAAAACTGTCCGAGAACTCGCCCTACCTGTTGTTTCGTTTTGGCAGGATGTGGGGGGCCTAGAGTGCGACTTTAGGATCGTCGGCGATGGATAAATAGAGACCAAACTTGTTCTTGTTAGAAAGTGTGACGGTCCTTCTTTTTAAGAGGTAAAAAAGCTCGATTAAAACTGGCATGGAAAGGGGTTGATTTTCTGGAAATTTCAAGGAGGGTCGACTTTTCAAAGGAAGGCAACTCATTCGATTTCTACTTGGTTTTAGGTAAATTTTCAGATATTTGCGATTGTAACTTAGGTTTAGTCATGTGTAGCTAGCTAAACTCGTTCATCCAACATTGGTTCTGAATTATTGAAATTTTGAGTTCAAAGTCTTGATAATCCAAGCTTACAAGCTTATGACTTTGAGTTGGTGTTTTCTATTTCGATAAAACTATAAGAAAATTTGAGATTTTATTCAAATTCTCATTTATGATTAATATCCGGTTGAAAAACTTATTTTAACAAAGGTAAATTTAAGAAAAAATATAACTTGGTTATCATTGGCGGACCTATAGCTTGGCTAAGGGGTCAATTGACCCCATAAACTCTAAATTTTTTGATTTTTATATTATAAAATTTATTTTCTAAAATTATATTTATTGTTTCGACCCTTAATAAAAAGAAGTTTTGTTCCTATAGATAATTTAACCTAGTTTAGCTGTCGGTTTTATATTACGAGAATTATAACTACCACCATCAATTTCGGATATTGGTATTTTTTAAAAAGTTCATCTGTTAGTTGATGCCTAATTACTATATTTTTGTTAATTGTTTTATTATTTGGCTACAAAGATGAACTTTTTAAAAAATACCAATATCCGAAATTGATGGCGGTAGTTATAATTCTTCGGCAACTAACTTTAGTAATTTGATGTCTATAAAAGTTGATTTGAATTATCTCTCTTGGATCCATCCGAAAGAAAAAAATAGTTATGGCGCATCACCCTAAACAAAAACAGAAATTGCTTTATCAACTACATGATCATGACCTTAATTCCGACTCAATCACCAATGTTCTCGGATCCGCCACTGGTTGTTAACGACCATAATCAACTTGAGTTTGTTTTCCATGTTCGCACTTTTGAGATCAATGATAGGTACTGACATCTTAATTGAAATCGAACTAATGTTGGATTTTTAATTTATTATTTTAATTAGTTCTTATTGTATGCTAGTTTAATCACCACTCCCCCTTTCGTATTTACTTTTAAGCTTCCATCCTTGTGCATGAATTGTTTATTCATAATAAGTTGAACCGAGTTTCGACCTGACTTACTATTGTAAAATTGAGATTTATTATTTGGTGGACTCGACATCCGAAAAAAACAATGTACAAACTTTTGCTTTGTGTTTGCCAAGAAATTAAATGAACATGAAGCAAATGAAATAAAATTCGGATCAGAGATGGAAGACACGTACAAAATTTAAAATAAAAAAAATGTTGCTTCAATTCGTATTTAGTTTGCTCGAGTTCTAAACTCATCTCAGCTTCCCCACTTGATTCTCAATTTTTGACTTTTTGTTTCATAAAAAACCAATTATTTTTTAATATTTAATTAATCAACCCAAAAACTAATTGCACTTCAATTTGGAAAGGTTTAAGGAAATCCCTTTAATATTGCAAATTTAATCTATAATTCTTAGTCTTTTTTTTTGTTAGCTTACCTGACCTCAAATAGTTTGAAATCATCGGAGGTGAACGTTCAAGGTTACAAGGGCTTGGCCAACACCATGAATGGTTTTTCTTTTCTATAGTTAGGAACCGACATTCAAGGATGATATAAGGCAATTGAAAACCCAAGATTTTTCTGTGACTACACCTTTAAGGTCAATGAAAGGCTAACAAAGTCATGGTTTAACCCAAGGAAAAATCAACACGCTCGGACTCGAGAAAAACTCAACTGTGTCGATTTGATACAATACATTTTTACAAATGAAATCGACATTGACTTTTTGAGCAAGACACAAAACTATATCTTGCGCTCGACGTGTTCTCAGCCGAATTCCACTTTTACGGGGGATTGTTTTTGGTTGATTTCATAACGGACAACAATTGCAACAACAAAAATATAATTTTATAAATTTCTTACATAATCATGTTTCACGACATCATATACAGAGAAATAATAACTGATTTTTAAGTATTATGAAAAAATTAAGAACAAAAACTCATACAAAGTATTAATTGTTAAATGTGATTAATTTTATTTCATTTTCAAGTTATTTTAGAGGGTGTTTGGGATTGTTTATTTGAAATAACTTATGTTTTTTTTATTAAAGTGTTTATTAACTTATGTGGTATCAAACCGGAGTTTTGTATGAGAGGGTTAAAATTGTAAACGGGTAATAAACAGTTTTTCATAAGTCAGAAATGATTAACTTATCAAAAACAACTTATTACCGGTTTGGCACCGGTATAAGCAGTTTTTTTTCTTATCCAAACACTAGAAAATAGCTTATTATCGGTGTCATACTAAAATAAGTTAAAAAACAGCTTTTATAAGCAATCACAACACCCCTTAAATAAATATGTATTGTTATTAGAATGAGACAAAAAACAACTTGTTATTACACATTTATATATCACTTGCAATTGTTAGGTTCCATGATTTTTACAAAACAGTTTATTATACATGTATTTAACATATTCATCGTGGTATAAAACCCAATTTTATTTGTGACGACTTACATGTATTTTTACGACAGAATATTCCCGATTCCGTCGTTAAAGATATTAGCAAAAGCTTCCATTTGCATACTCGAAAGGCACAATCCAATTTCCAGATCTTGTGTCGAATTTTTGCATGCATTTATAGAAACCGATCCGTTATAATCAATCGAAACGGTTTCACACTTTTTGGGCTTCCCCCACCCGTAATCGATGTCGTAGAAATTGAGCTTCGGTGTACCGGCGACCCCAATCTTCCTTGCCGGAATCTTGAAACCTTCGTGCCACCTCTCGGCATCTTTTAAGATTCCGTCTTTATGATTCACCATTTTGTTTATACTCTCTCCTATCAATTTAGCAGCGATTTCGAATCCTTTTTCACCCGTTAAGACAACGTTTTGGATCGTTGTAATACATGGTGCTGTACAGTTGCCGAAGTAGTTCACCGGAATCGGCGGATCCAATCGAGACCTGCAATCGACTGTCAGAATGAACTGTTCTAACTCATCGTCACCCTTTTTTTCTCCCATTTTAACAAGCGATTTCGCAATGCAATTCCATATATAACCACAGGTTACCGTAAAAGATGATACATATTCCAACGATGGCAGATGGGTTAGGACCCGTTTCTTCAACCGATCAATATTTGTTCGGGTCAACACAAATGTGGCCCGAACCTTGGTTGGACCAACAAGGCTCGGAGGTTGATAAAAAGATTCAACCCTTGTATGTCTCAACTTATTTTCATCTAATTTCGGAATGTCGATCAATCTTTCGTAGATTGGTAGAGATCCATTGGCCAAGAACGACTGATCTCCACCGGAACAAGCAATCGTAGCCCACGCCTTCAAGAAACCGAACCGTGTGTTAGCATCACCAAGGCTATGATGATTCGTCATTCCGATCGCGATACCGAAGCCTGGAAAGATGGTTATTTGGATCGAAAAAAGTGGGATCGTAACATAATCGGATCCTTTAACCGCCGTTCCCAATGGAGGTATCAGTGGATAAAAGTATTCACATTTCCGAGGATGATCTCCGGTCAGATCATCAAAATCAAGATCACATTCTGCAACAGTAAGTGTGACGGAATCGCCTTCTACATGCCGAATTTCCGGTTTTCTAGTGACACCGGAATTATTAAAGACGAACAATTTGCTAACGAATGGGAAGAAATGTCGAAGAGCGAGGGATAAGGAGTGTTTAATATTGGGAAGAAGGGTTTGTATGAAATGGGATTTAGAGTGAGGGAAGTGGTAGAAGAAAAGATGGTGGACGGGAGGGAAGAGCAGCCATGTGAGGTCGAAGAAAGTAAGCGGAAGTGAACAGGGTGCAACGGTGACCGGCGGTGGTGATATTTGAGAGTGTTCAATGACTGTTAAAATGGGATCGGAAGCCATTGAATTAGGTTTGTGGATTGTGGAGTAGTATTTATGGAGAAGATGGGAGTGGGGGTTAGAACAAGGTGGGGGTTAGGGGGCGAGGAAGAGAGTTGTGTTGTAAGTGAACGGTGGTTGGTGGGGGTTAGCTAAATACCCATATTTTGCATATTTTAAAAAAAAAAACTCGAAAAACAATATTTTATTTTATTTAATGATTTTAAAAATATAATTTTGAAAACTGTAGATTTTCTTATAAATAAATTAAAAATTAAAAAAAGGATAAAAAATAAATTAATTTATTTATGAATTCCCCTGAAATGCTGCTATCATACTTGTGGTGGTGATGAAGCCACGTCTCCTAGGTTTCTGCTCTAAATGATGCATGATTTAACTTCTTTTATTTATGGATGTCTTTCATCTTTTAATAGTGGTAGGTGGATAACAAAATTATAGGTGTTTCACATCCAATCCCATTTCTAACCCAACATTGAAAATAAAATAAGGTGTTTTTGTCTCTAATTTAATATTCAAATATTAAAAAATAAAGATATTTAAATTTGATTTTATATTTCAAGATTAAAAATAAATGTAATATTAATTTAAAATTAAGTATTCATAAAATGTAATTTACTCTATTATTTTCTAATTTACAAACTCTATTATTTTCTTAATTTTATTTGTAAATTAGAAAACTTGACCATCAGCTCAGCTGGTCATTTGCCAAGATTTTATCCTGTTTTTGAGGGTAACTTAAATGAATATAAATAATGTTATATTATGTAAAAAGTTATAAAACATGGTTTACAAATTTAAAATTTAAGGGTACAAGAAGAATCCGAAAATTAACTCAATGAATTTTCTAATTTTGAGTGACTAGAGATTGCTGATTGGTTTTCATGAAGTCCTAGAATAAAGCTTTGTGTATGGATTAATTTATTTGTATAGATTGAAATATTTTTATTTAACAGAGTTCTTTCATATATAGGAGGAGCATGCTTTTTACCTATAAGTGATAGGTTTGGAAAAACTTGTTTTTTTACATAAATCTTTCCCTAAATTTTTTCTTAATAATCCATTTTCTGTATCATTAATTTATTATCAGACAACTATATATAACTGACCAAATAAAATATGGATATCATTAAATTGTTAACAAACAGACAAATAAATTTTTAAAACTAATTGAATAAAATCTCTCAACCTAAAAGATAACTATTAACTAGTTTAAACGGTAAAAAGAAATTTAATGTACATATACCCGTACTTGAATTGTTACAAAAATGGAATAAAAGATTGTGGCTGCTGGGATTCGAGCCCAGGTCTCCACGGCCACAACGTGGAATTCTTACCACTAAACTACAGCCACAGATGTCAACAACTTCCCGTATATGCTTTATAGCTTAAAAAGAAACTCTTTAGAATTAGCAACATAACAAACGGGTCTTTCATCAATTGACTTGGATTTTATTAATACCTTCCAATATTTTCTAAAACTGAGAAAATAAAAGAGAAAGGATAAAAATCTCTAAACTTGTAAAAATCTTACAAATTCAATATTGAGTAAAAAGAAAATATCGTTTTCACCAATATTGATGTATAACAAAAACCTAACTAAATCTGAGAACATTCAAAAATTCAATATTCAGTAAAAAGAAAATATTGTTTTAATCAAAGTGATTTATGAGTCGGAATTAGAGATGCTCATGAGTTGAGTTGATTGAGTTGAACAACTTAACCCAATGTGGTTTGAAATTTTTTAACCCAACCCAAATCAAACCGTACGAGTTGGTCGGGTTAGTCGGGTTGATACTTTGGTACATTAAAATATTATTCTAACCTTGAATATGTTATTTCTCTACTCGTATTTTTTTTTTCAATATCAACCATTTGATACAACTTACCCATATTTCTTACGCATATCACATTCAATTAATTTTCTCAATTTACACATATATGTTCACAATTACTGAACATATATATGAATGAATTATATAGAAATTTGAATAGATTGAAAATATGTGTATATGAAGAGCGTACATGATAGTGTGATTGTCTAATGTATATATTTAATAGAAATTCAACAATCTTATTAAATCTAAGAAAGAAAAGGATATCAGGTACATTGGGTTGGGTTGAGTTCAAATAATAGTTACATGATATCAACCAAATATTTACGATTTGGAAATTTTACAACTCGATTAGACATCAGGTTGTTTCAGGTTGAGTTATATCGCTTTAGGTTGGGTTGATCGCATTGATCGGATTTGTCGGGTTTTTGAGCACCCTTAGTCGGAATGGTGGGGCATAATGATGAGTATATTACAAATTTCATCCGTGTGGTTATATAAAATTTTGGATTGGTCCCTCAAACAAAATAATTACATGTATAGTTACACTGGTTTCATTTTATTATGGATCGGGTCCTTTGCCCTAACTCCTTCAACCTTTACTCTATTAAGTCAAGGGCATTATAGTCATTTTCTCTTTCTATCTATTTTTAAAATAAAATTAAAAATAAGTTAATGTTATACTTTATATGTATAGACACGCAAGCATATATCCTGTAGCACCCACCCTTCCCTAAATCAAGCATAAAAAATAAATAAAAAATCTTTGATTAAGTGCATATGATCAGATCAAAAGGAATGAGCTACTTGAAAGACGAAGACGATGAAGAAAAAGGACTTGATGGATTGTAGTGGTAGAGTGGCAAACTGCTTCTTCCTCTCGAAGAAGAAGCCCACAATTGATCGATTCAATAATCTCAAAAATAGATCACATTCCATAAAATATGAAAATGTGAATATGTCAGAGTTTCACATGATGACTGGAGATTAAAACTTCAGGTAAGATTGTTCGATTTCCCTACTTGGTGAACGAGAAATTGCTCTAGAGTAGAAAAAACCAATGCGTGTACAAACAAAAAGTGCATGTTTACTATGTGTGCTTGTGCACTCCTTCTCAATGAGAATTACATATATTGGAAACCATCATTACCTCCTTGATCTCCTCTCYATTATATATAACCGTAATTACTTCCTTGATCTCCTCTCCATTATATATAGCCTTTCCATGTGTAACCCTCAATTGTAGTCTCCTTCCTTTTCTTTTGTCC